CCCTGTCTCCCTCCCTGTCTCCCTCCCTGTCTCCCTCCCTGTCTCCCACCTGGAAACTGATGTCCATTTCACACCTACCGACTCCCACAGCTACCTCTCACCCACCTTCCTGCAAAAAGGCCATCCCCAATTCCCAATTCCCTCGCCTCCGCCGCATCTGCTCCCGAGATGAGGCATTCCGCTCCCGAGATGAGGCATTCCACTCCCGGACATCCCAGATGTCCTCGTTTTTCAAGGACCGCAACTTCTCCTCAGTGGTCGAAAACGCCTTCGACCGTGTCTCTCGCGTTTCCCGCAACTCATCCCTCACACCACCAACCCGCAATAACAACCAAAACAGAATCCCCACCAACCTCCCAATCCAACGCATCATCCTCCGACACTTCTGTCATCTGCAATCTGACCCTGCTACCAAAGACGTTTTTCCCTCCCCACCCTTACCTGCTTTCAGGAGGGACCACTCTCTCCGTGACTCCCTCGTTCGCTCCGCACCCCCATCCAGCCCCACCACCCCCAGCACTTTTCCCTGCAACCGCAGCAAGTGCTACACCTGCCCCTACACCTCCCCCTCTCACCCCCATCCCAGGCCCGAAGAAAACCTTCCACATCCAACAGATGTTCACCTGCACATCGACTAATGTGGTATACTGTATCTGCTGTTCCCGTTGTGGCCTCCTCTACATCGGGGAAACCAAGCAGAGGCTTGGGGACAGATTTGCAGAACACCTACGCTCGGTTTGCAACAAACAACACCACCTCCCAGTCGGAAACCATTTCAACTCCCCCTCCCACTCCTTGGACGACATGTCCATCCTGGGTCTCCTGCATTGCCACAATGATGCCATCCGAAAGCTGCAGGAACAGCATCTCCTATTTCGCTTGGGAACCCTGCAGCCCAATGGTACCAATGCGGACTTCACAAGCTTCAAAATCTCCCTGCCCCCGACCGCATCCCAGAACCAGTCCAGCTCATCCCCGGCTCCCGAACCATTCCTCCCACCTCAAGCCCCACCCCCATCTCCTACCCACTAACCTCATCCCGCCTCCTTGACCTGTCCGTCCTCCCTGGACCGACCTATCCCCTCCCTAACTCCCCCACTACGTTCACCTTTACTGGCTCCAACCTCGCCTCTTTGACCTGTCTGTCTCCTCTCCACCTATCTTCTCCTCTATCCATCTTCTATCCACCTCCCCCTCTCTCCCTATTTATTTCAGAATCCCCTTCCCCTCCCCCATTTCTGAAGAAGGGTCTTAAACCGAAACGTCAGCTTTCCTGCTCCTCTGATGCTGCTTGGCCTGCTGTGTTCATCCAGCTCTACACCCATTTATATATAGTCTGCTTTCTTCCAGCCAGCCAACTTCTATGCACTCTTATATGTTTCCTCCTTGAAAATTGCTACTTTGCAGAATGATCTTTTGTGTGAAACGTGAAATCCCTCCTGGAAATCTAAACACAGTGCATCAATGGTCTCCCCTTGTGACCACAACGAAGGTTATCTCTTCAAAGAATTCCAGTAAATTTGTCAAATTTGATCTGCCTTTCACAAAATCATGATGACTATTCCTGATTACCTTGAGTTTTTCCAAGTGCCCAGTTTTAACTCGATGATTAATTCCAGCACTTCCCCAGAACTTTCCCCCACAACAGATATCAACTTAACTGGCCTTGGGTTCCTTTTCTCGTTCATCATCCTTTCTTGTGGAGCGTTGTTATATTTGGAACCTTTCCAGAATCTAACCGGTTTTACCTGCAGCTTAATCATCAAATTAATAATTGAGTCAAATATTTTCTTTTACACTTGTTTAGAATGATGGAATCGCTGCCTAGGCCAGCATTTGTTGCACATTGCCTTCAACTAAGTTGCTAGGTCAGTTAAGAATCAATCACATTGTTGTGGGTCGGATTTCACATGTAGGCCAGTCTAATAAGGACAGCGTTTTCCTTTCCCAAAGGACATTAGTGAACCAGATAGGTTTCTGTGACAATCAACAATGATTACATGTTTGCCATCAAACCAACCTTTTTAAAATTCTAGACTTTTATTGAATTGACATTTCACCATCTGCAATAGTAGGATTCAAAGCCATGTCCCCAGAACATTACCAGGAGCTCTGTATTACCTATCTAGTGGTGTTATCACCATGGCACCACCCCCTCTTGCAACCACAAACACTTGGTGCATCTATGTTTGCCCTGGATTACATTGTACAACGTGAGAGATTCTGGATGTCAAGCTTAGCTCATCATGCACTCTGCCATTCCCAATGTAATAATTAATAATTGCTAATTAGTTTTATAATTAATACAGCCCACGGCTTCTAATAAGTTTCAACACTTCATAGTATACTTTACCATATTGATGAAACAATACTCCTAAAACTGAGAACTTCTGGTTTCTAATAATACAATTTACTGACTTACCTGCTCCTTCTACAGCACAAAATAGAAACATAGAAGGTAGGAGCAGGAGGAGGCCATTTGTCCCTTCGAGCCTGCTTTGCCATTCTTCACGATCATGCGTGATTGTCCAACTCAATAGCCTAATCCTGCTTTTTCCTCCTAATCATTGATCCTATTCACCCCAAGTGCTATATTTAGTCGCCTGTTGAGTACATTCAGTGTTTTGGCATCGACTAATTTATGTGGTAATGAATTCTACAGTCTCACCACTCTGAGTGAAGAAATGTCTCCTTATCTCCGTCGTAAATTGTCTACCTCGAAATCCTCACACTGTAACCCCTGTTTCTGGACACACCCACGATCCTCCCTGCATCTACCCTGTCCAGTTCTTTTAGAATTTTATAAGTTTCTGTGAGATTCCCCCCATTCATCTGAACTCTAGCGAAAACAATCCCAACCTAGTCAATCTCTTCTCATACGTCACACCCGCCATGCCTTGAATCAGCCTGGTAAACCTTCTCTGCACTCCCTCCAAAGCAAGAACCAAATGTTGGAGGCTGGGGGGAAAAAATACCCAAGGAAGATGCACTGCTGCCATGCCTTTCAGTACAATTTTACCTCTTGTGGTAAATCTTGCTTAACACATCCCTTTCCCCATGTACTAAATTCCCACTTTTAAACCAAATTCTCAGATATGCTCGCTCAGGTGAAGTCTCTTCCACACTGACCAGTGCACCCCAACTGGTGCATGCTTTTAACATGTTCTGTGTATGTCATAACATAGTCATGCAGATGTAATGGTAAACAATACACTGTATCCAAACCTATTTCCTTCAAGGCTGAAGGTGATGGGGAGCAATGTTTACAAAACAGCATATTCTAATTACTATGATCGCTGCTACTATTGCACAAATAGTCTTGTTAAATAACAATTCCAAAGGTTTCTGATTCCCCCCATTTATTTTTAGTCTGCAAAACAGCATTTATACACTGGAATTGTAGATTAGCAACTTAAGTTGCTTTTTTGGGCTAAATATATTCCTGTAATTGGTCTGAATGTTTTAAACTGAAGCCTTGGGTAATTTGAATGTTATTTAATTCAAATTAAGCTCAGTATCTAAAAATGCAAAGCAACTTTGAGCTTTGCTAATTACTTGTATGAAATACTTGTGTCAAAGAAGCAAAGACTTGATTGTTGCTATCTCGGTCAGTAAAATAAATGATTTGCTCTTCAGTGTGTATAATTAAGGGGGGCTGTGTAGGTGGTATTGAGTAAAGAATTATGTGCATGTAGAATAATATGGCTTCAGACCTGGGTGGATATTATTTTGGCCCCACTCTACCTATTAGCCGAGCAGCAATTTTGCATTACATAGTTTTCAAGCTTCTCCTAAACTCTGTAGCACCCATTGTGGATTTGTTGGGAGAATATCAGTGAATTCCACTCTGAGCAATAGACTTATAATATCATATGTCTAACCCAGCAAACAAGTTATAATGTTGAAACTACAAAATTTAGATCCCAATGCAAAATTGTTAGCAGATTAAAACTTCATAAGTCGTTTATGCATGTTTAAAACTGACATTTGGTAAACTTGTGGATATTAGACTTTGACACTGAACTGCTTTCAATGAATAACTATTGTTAAATATGTTTTCTAGTTCTCTCAGGCCAGACGCAACACAGCCCTCTGAAGCGTTCAGTATCTCTTACCCCACCAATCAATGTGCCAAATCAGCCTCTAGGTCATGGATGGATGTCCCATGAAGACCTGCGAGCAAGGGGACCTCAGTGTATCCCATCAGACCATGCTCCCCTCTCCCCACAGAGTAGTGTTGCTTCCTCGGGTAGTGGTGGGAGTGAGCATCTTGAAGATCAAGCAGTAACACGTAATACATTCCAAGAAGAGGGCAGTGGCATGAAAGGTGGGTAATTATTGTTAGAATGATGTTGATTGAAGAATACATATTGCCGAACAGGTAGTGCAAAAATGGAGAGGGAGTACTCCTGTTGTATTGTTAATGTTCTGATGTATTGTTATTCAATACTATAATGGATTTTTATCGTGAGCCTTTGTGCTGAAATGTTGACTTTGTTCGAAACTTCAAGGATTACATAACTCTGGATACAGACACCAGATTGTGATGTAAACGAACAATGTGTGTCTACAGCTGAATCAAAATCAGAAAACTTTGGTGAAGAAAATAAACAAGTGAATTAGTGAAAACTTGCACAACAAAGCTATCAATTTTCATTGTTACTAATAGTTTTTGATTCTTCAACATGCAATGTGTCATTTTCTTCTCCTATTCAGTGGAGCATAATATGAAGTTGTAATAGCCAAATGACAAGTCAAATACTAGTAGGTGTAGAACAGAGCAAAGAAGCATTTTTTTCTAAGATAACTGTTCAAAACGTATGGTGCTTTTGTTAGATAGAAAGTGGATTCAGTGGCAATAGGCAATTAATCTAGAAAACTAAGTGTTTTGTAGTAAGATAGCAATGGTAAGTGTGTCTTTTTGAATGTAATGTCTCATTGAGTTTGCAGATAAGTTTTTTTTCCATTACAAATAATCTACATTATGTAGGTATTAACATGCACATAGCTGTTGTGAAAGACAAATCCTTATTCATATTTTACAGCACCATAACTGCTGCTGATGAGCAGCAGAACAATTTTAAATTCATCTTCCTGATTGTTAGTTAATGATGTCCTTGCCTTTTGGAATGCATAAGATGCATTTGAATTCAGTATCCATATTTGACTTATATGTTGTCAAAATTGAAGTTTTTTTAAGATCAGTTGAATGTCAATTCTGGGCTCTGTAGTACTACGCTTGTATCTTTCAAAAGAACAGTCATGACTTTACATTCCAACTTTCTGTGGCTGAAACTAAATTGAGATCGAGATAATGTTTTTATTTAGCTGACCAACCTGGCACAAATCTCAATTGTAGCGATGCTAAAATAACTATTGTCAAAAGACATTACCTTGGTATCTAACAGTAGCTGTTTGTGGTGTGTGACTTTTCGGCAAGTTTCTCATCGCTGTATACTGTTTTCTCTCCTGGCATATCAGTACATTAACAGCTCAGGACAATTAGCTTTCAATAGTTGCTATATGATGATATACCCAATTAAAAGTCACGCCAAAATGTTGAAAATATGCGTAGCCAAATGCTTTGGAAATTGCAGCAAATCTCTTGTGTTTGTAAGAAATTGTAGCAGCCGAGACTAAAATTATCCAAACTATGGTTCTGAAACAGACCTAACAACCTTGAAATATTGGAAGATGACATTGAAAGAACTTGATGAGACAGAAACCAACATTGAGGAGCAAGAGTGTTTTTCAGAACACTGCACAGAATATATTGAAAAGGGCATGCAGTTGATTTGCTCCTACATTGTTTACAATGAATAATTGTTCAATCTTCAGGAGGGCTCAGGTGTTTCAGAAAATAAGCAGACGCTCTTGCCAGGTCTGGTATATTTACAGTCAAGACTAATAATGTCACCAAGGTTCTCGGGTAGAAACCAGACTAGTTCTTTTAGGCTAGTGCAGGAAGGATACCGGTAAGATGGCTTGAATTGTTCTCAAATTTACTTGTAAATGTTTAAAAAAAAGTTGTATGGTTGAATTGTGACAGTGCAATCCTCCAGAAGGCAACAGTATGCCTTACAATCTGGCATGGCTATATGGGGGTTCTTGGTTGTTATCTTTATGTAGCAGCACTGACTTCTGGTATGTTCACGTTCTTGTTGGTCACTGGATAACATTAAACTGCTGAAGCATTTTATTTTTGACAAGTTAAAGTTATGTAGGCACCCTCTGGCTGGCATATTTAAGGAATGTTGGGATGAGGTTTACGTTTTCATCTTTTGGTGATTAAAGATGAGTGCTAGCGGTCGAGATTTTTAGATTTGGAGAGCTAAATTCCACATTAAGATTTTTTGTGCAGTAGAAATTGTTCAAAAGCCCAATTTGGAGGCTGCTGCCGTAAGTGCTCAGTTGAGAAAGGAAAGCTAGTAATTTTAATTGTTTTACTGTGTGTGAACTAAATCAATTGTGACCAGAGAGTAAGGCAGGAAGATTGGTGAGAAGTTTGACTGAAGCTTGCTAGTGAAATCTTTTCGTTGAAAAATTCTTGGGTGATAATGCACCATCTAAATCTATCCAAAAATGCTTCACGTGCAATGAATTACTTCTAAGTACAGTAAATGTTCTACAGCGTGAAGAGGAGTAAAAACTGGTTCCAAAATGCACATGTCTGTATGTGGACACATTCAAATAGTTAAAACAATACTGGCACTTGTCTGCAAAAAAGTGAGTAACAAAACCTGTTGTGAAGGCTTGGAGCTGTCTTTAGGTGACACACCCACTCTCCCACTTGTCGGTGCAATCAACTGCACCCTTTCTCGCCACTGCACCTCCACAAACTGCCACAATGTATAAAATCCCAATTAGACCAAGGTGACCAATTTTCCTGAACGACAAAATGAATTCGCACCATGTTTCTTCACGAACAGGAAATAACTACTAATTGTTTCACACTAACTTAATCAAATAACAGAGGAAAAAACATTCCTACTTCACTTTTTTGTGCGATTTAATAACCCTTTAAAAACCACAAACACACGCACGCGCGTTGATTAAGACCAACAGACGTAGGAGCAAGTTTTATGCTATTCAGCCCATTGATCCCACTCTGTCCTTCAACATGATCATGGCTGATCCTTTCTCTTAGCATGTACCCCAGTCTTTCTCCATGCCTCTTGACACCTTTTATTCTCTAAAAATCTATTAATTCTTAAATATATTCAGTGACTTTACCTGAAACAGCTTTCTGTGGGTGAGAATTCCTTAGACTCACCATGCTTTTTGAGGAAAGAAAATTCTTCTCATCTTCATATGAAATGGCTTACTACATATCCTGAGTCAATATTCTGGACTTTCTAGGCAGAGGAGACTTCATCTCTGCACCCAGTCTGTACAGCCCTGTATGAATCATTTAACTTCTCAAAATGACTTGTGTTTCTGTTACAAATATGCTTTCTCTCGGGTAAGGAGATCAAAAGTTCCCACAATACTCCAGATTTAGTCACAAAGTCTCTTGTACAGCCGCAGTAAAAATTACTTGATGTTGTACTTAAACCCCACACCGATGAATGCCAGCATACCATTGTCTGTTCTGAAAAAGGGTCACACTAGCATCTTAAATGTTTACTCGGCTTTCTCTCCACAGGTGCCAAATCTTTCCAGCAATTTGTTGTTGGTACCATTTATCTCTTCAACTGCTTCCTCTGCTAATGTGCTTGTTTTCAAAGGCAGGTGTACAGCACTCCAAAGTTCTTTTGTAAGTGAACATTTCCCAGGCAATTTGCATTTAAACGATACTCATCCATTCTATATAAAAACCGAAAGAACTGCAGATGCTGTAAATCAGGAACAAAAACAAAGTTGCTGGAAAAGCTCAGCAGGTCTGGTAGCATCTGTGAAGGAGAAAGACAGAGTTAAAATTTTGGGTCCGGTGACCCTTTCTCAGAACTGATAGTGGCTGGGAAAACGTCAGTTTTTATGCAGAAAATAGAGAGGTGGGTGGGGTCGGGAGTAAGCGATAGGATAGAGCCCAAAGAGAGAGAAAGACAGTTGGACAGACAAAGGAGTTGGTAATGATCAGGCTGGGAGGGTGAATAGTTGTTAATGGGGACTGTCAGTGACTAACAACAGGGGGTGTGTAATGGCAGGCTATGTGGTAACAAGGCCTGGTGTGGGATAGGGGCTGGGACGTGGGAAAATTTAGGCCCTAAAATTATTGAACGCGATATCGAGTCCAGAGGGCTGCAAGGTCCCCAAGCAGAAAATGAGGTCTTGTTCTTCCAGCTTGTGTTGGGCTTCACTGAAACACTGCAGCAAGCCAGAGACACAGATGTTGGCCAGGGAACAGGGTGGTGTGTTTAAAGTGGCAGGCAACAGGTAGTTCAGGGTCTTTTTTGCGAGCAGAATGTAGATGTTCTGCGAAGCGGTTGCCAAGTCTATGCTTCATTTCCCCAGTATAGAGGAGACCACATTGTGAGCAGCGAATGAGGGAGATAGGTTGGATTTGGTGAGAGGGGCAGAGAAATTGAGGCGACTAATGTCATGTCAACAGTTCTCAATGAAAAGATTCTGGGAAGTGCAGGTGAAGTATTGCTTCACCTGGAAGGTATGTTTGGGCCCTTGGATACTGGGGAGGGAGGCGGTAAATGGGCAAGTGTTGCACCTTTGCAGTTTACAGGGGAAGGTGCCGTAGTGCTGTGGGGATGTGTTGGGGGTGAAGGAGGTGTGGACCAGGGTGTCCCAGAGGGAACGGTCTCTGCAGAAGGTGGACGAGGGAGGGAGGGGGGAGGGGAATATGTCTGGTGGTGGCATGTCGCTGGAGGTGACGGAAATGGCGTCTGATGATCTTCTGGATGTGGATGCTGGTGGGATGGTAGGTGAGGATAAGGGGAACACTTGCTGTTGTGGGAGGGAAGAGAAGGGGTGAGGGTGGAAGTGTGGGAGATGGGTCGGACCTGATTTGAGGGCTCTGTTGACAACGGAGGTGGGGAATCCTCAGTTGAGGAAGAAGGTGGACATTTCGGAGGCTCCCTCGTCGAAGTTGGCCTCATCTGAACATATGCGACGGAGGAACTGAGAGAATAGGATGGAGTCTTTACAGGAAGCAGGGTGTGAGGATGTATAATCCAGATAGCTGTGGGAGTCAGTGGGTTTGTAACGGATATTAGTGGCCAGTCTATCCCCAGAAATGGAAACAGAAATGTCGAGGAAGGGAAGGGAGGAGTCAGAGATAGACCAGGTGAACGTGATGGCAGGATGGAAATTGGACGCAAAATTGAAGAAGTTTTCCAATTCCGGACGAAAGAGGGAAGCAGCACCGACGATATC